GTGCATTTAATCTCCAAAGGACTGAAGATGTCTGGGCTTTTATTCTGTAATGTTTCTAAGACTGTGTCCTTTAAATGCAAACAAAAAAGGAAGAATCTTGGCAGAACAGGAGAAGTGATGCACACTTGATGATCGGATCGATTTAAATATTATTCATGGCAGATAGCCTAGTCCATGTTCTAGCTGTTTCTATGGCTTGGGCTTCGTTGGTCTTCCACTGTTCCGCTACATCATTCGCTAATGGATCATCTGGATTGGGAGCACTTAACAAAGCCTGGATCGATAGCAGAACTGTGCGGATCTGCAGTGCTGGAGACCATTTATCTTTCAAAATATCTAAACATATTCTTCCCAACTAGTCTACATTAGGATGATAAATTTTGGTCATGAAACGTACTTTAGGAGCTGCCATTGGGTATTCTTCTGGAAGGAATAGTTCGAGTTTAAAAGTCCCTCCCTCAAAGGGGGAATCCCGGGGGCCAGCAATAACCACATGAAAATAACGGGCGTTGCTCTCATCTGGTTCTGCTTTAATGCCAGGAACTGGTTCCGCCAGCAAACGCTGGGTTTCCTTGATAATCCTGCGGGGCAGCCCGGCCATCTTGTCAGATCCCGAGTTCGGCCTCTGATCTCGTCTCAGGCTCCGCTCGCCTCACGCACGAGTGGAAGTCCGAGGCTCCACTCGAGAACAGAATTTTTTTTTGCAGTTTTTGGCCGGGGCTGGGTTTGAACCCACCACCTCTGGCATATAGGACTGGTGCCCTACTCCTTTGAGCCAAAGGTGCCTCAAAGAACAGAACTTTTGACAGGAGAGAAAGGAGATTAAATAAAATCAATGGGGTAGATTTCTTTTTTTTTTTTTTTGAGACAGAGTCTCACTTTGTCACCCTCAGTAGAGTGCCCTCACTTTGTCACCCTCAATAGAGTGCCGTAGCATAACAGCTCATAGCAATCTCCAACTGCTGGGCTTAGGTGATTCTCTTGCCTCAGCCTCCTAAGAAGCTGGGACTACAGGCGCCCACCAAAATGTCCCCTGTTTTTTGTTGCAGTTTGGATGGGCCTGGGTTTGAACCTGCCACCCTTGGTATATGGGGCCAGCACCCTATCCACTGAGCCACAGGTGCCACTCCAATGGGGTAGATTTCAATAAGGTCAAGTAAAAGTCTGACATTTTAAGTGCAAGTATGAATTCAGGATATATTTTTCAATTAAGAAAATTTCCAGAATCCTAACTTCTGGAATGGCAAGGTAAGGACCTCCAAGATTCTTCTCTTTACAGGAAATAAAAATAGTGGTAAAACAAATTATTAGACAAGGGTTTTTCAGAATTCTGGAAATTAAAGACATGCAACAATCTGAGGAGTGTTTATTCAAGAAAAACAACAGACTTCTGGTAAGAACATGAAGTTTTGAAGTGTTTTATTTTATTTTATTTTTTATTAAATCATAGCTGTATACATTAATGCTGTCATGGGGTACAGTGTGTTGTTTTTATATACAATTTGAAATATTTTTATCAAACTGGTTAACATAGCCTTCATGTCATTTTCTTAGTTATTGTGTTAAGACATATCTTTCTAAATGTTTTGAAGTGTTTTAATTTGTCCTAATCCCATTTCTCTAACACCTGTTCCAGGGTAGCCTTGCAAAAGCTTTACAATAATAATAGCTATGAAAACTAGTAGCCTGGCAGGCATGGAGGAGGAAGAATGTGTTTGGAGCACCCCAAAAACCCATTTCTAGTGCATTGTCACTATTTGACCTGCCTGGAAACTCTCTCAAAATATCTATTCTCAGAACATTCCTTATGTGACCTGACTTAGGGCTCACTATGTGTGAACAGTCCTGCCCATAGGAATTTTGTTGAAAAAAAAATCAACAATTGTTTGGCAATTCATTTGCCCAAAGCAGCATCAATAGTTGGGACTAACAAGAGGCTGACTAAAAATTGAGAAGGAAAAACTGTAAAGGAATGTGAAAAGCTTCAACAAATTCCATGGAATCCAGAAGGCCGCGTGCTCATGCAGAACTGTGTGTATGCCTAGGAAAGAACACAGAAGGACCTAATCTCTTGCCTCTAAGTGACTCTGAGGCTTTGCACAGGCAACAGAGACAAAGGCAGAGATGTAAATGTTGCTGGAACACACACAGAGAGTTCACAGTGAAGGTTAGGTGATTAATTGGTTCAGGCATGAAGAAATGTCTGTCCCTGTCCTGCCTCTTAGCTGACTGCTAAGTGAAATAAGCAGAGACTTCAGTGGCTACATACAACAAGGAATATAGAATTTACAGAATTAATCTGGAAAACTCACTAATAAACACACAACACCAACAGTGACAATAAACAGCAGAAACAACAACAAAAAAACTTCGTAGGGGAGAATCTGATTTTCAGATGTGCCCCATACTATTATTTAAAATATCTATTTTTAAGCAAAAAATTGCAAGACATGCAAAGAAACAGGAAAGTTTCTTAATCTGACTAATAGCCAAAACCAAGTGGTCTCTAAATACTATTTCCCACTTAAAGAAATAAAAACAAAGGCTTTTTGGAGAAATGGTTGATCCTAGGTTTAGGGAAGGAAATATACAAGATGAGATTGAAATAACTTATCAGAAAGAAAGGGAATTACCAAAACAAAGCAGAATTATGTGGATAGGACTCAGAAGCCACTTGAATAGATTCTAATTGACCAAAGAGGGATGATTTGAGTGTCTATGGGGATCATAATTACAATAGGTCACAAGTATTAGACATACTTAAATCTGTCTTAATTTGGGTGCTTACCAAAAGCAGACCATGAGACAAAGAATTGAATACAGGTAGTTTATTTAAGAGGTGATCCCAGGAAACACAAGTCAGAGAATGAGGAGAAAGGGAATAGGAAAACAGTGACTCAAATGAATGGAGAACCTTTTCCTGAATTATATAAAAAGGTCTCTGGCCATGGGAAGGGGGAGCTGCTCCTCACTAGGTAAAGGTTGTTTTTAAGGCATTAAATCCTTTTTATTTCTTTTTCTTTTTTTATTAAATCATAAACACATAGATCATGTATACATTAATGCACTTCTGGGAACAATGTGCTGATTTCATATAGAATTAGAAACGCTTACATCACACTGGTTAATATGTACCTCATCTCATTTACTTAATTATTGTGTTAAGACATTTATATTCTATACTTAATAGATCCAACATGTACCCTTGTATTATGCACCATTGGTGTGATCCCACCATTCACCCTCCCTTGATCTGACTTTCCCCCTCCCCTCCTCCTTCCTTTCATCCTGGGCCATAATTGTGATCTATTTTTCATATGAAAGTGTGAGTGATTGTAAATTGGTTTCATAATAGTACATTGAATATTTTTTCTTCCATTCTTGAGATACTTTACTAAGTAGAATATGTTCCAGCTCCATCCGTGTAAATGTAAAAAAGGTAAAGTCTCAATCTTTTTTAAGGCTGCATAATATTCTATGGTATGGCTTCCATGACTTGGCTATTATGAATTGAGCTGCAGTGAAAAATCT